CGAATAAACCTATCTTTTTTAGAAATCTGTCCATATAATGGACGCTTTCTCACCTGATTGACATGCACACACATTTTCGGTAGAATTCTCACTCTGTAAGAGGTCCGTGATTGGGATCTCCTTGAACATTTCATTTTCAAACTTGGAGTCGGTGTTTGGTCCTATCTGAGGTTTTTCTTCAATGGAGTCTCCTGAAAATCCTGTTTCAATCCTATAGTGGAAGAGCTTTGCAGGGTGCACCAGAGAGAAAAAGACTCACTAGATGAAGACGGGATTGAGTCTGACCTAGAAGAGTGAGATTGGGGCGGTTGAAGATAATCTGCTACACTCGAATCTTTTGAATCTTCGGGCTGGTCGCGCAATAAGACTGACCTGTAAGTTGAGTTCTCAAGTTCTTGCAATAATTAGCGAACTTAAAGACGCATTCCCCAATAACTTGAGTGGTGGGATTCTTTCCGTGAATACTGAGCGCGAGTAAACATCTCAAAGGGTATGCCATACTGGACATTTAAAAGTGACCAGGACGCTAAGTCTTGTGATATTTGTAAATATAGCCGCTATGTCTATAAACGTGCGACTGCTGGGTGGCGTTTGCGAGAGACGAATACAAAACAGTGAATCAATAGAATATTTTCATCAGCAACATACCTTGCGTCATTTCTCTCTTTTTTGCTACAAGTGAACAACTCTTCTTCACAGCTCTCCTGCGACACGTCTGGAATGTAATCATATGTTTTGAAGAATGGAACGAAACAAGAGGAAGAATGGGTTAATATGATAATGACTTGAACTATTTGAGGTTTCTACACGGCTTTATGAACGCTAGTGCTCATTTAGCCTAGGTTCGCGGTTCAGTACGTCGCCTGTTAAAAGGTAGATGACACGCTTCTGACGTCACAGAACACGTTAATGACGTGTCTTGGGACCTCATTGACGCCGATACAGCATATCCTACCTCGTCATTAATTTGTTTTTGGCACTTCACACACCAACCCTTCAAGTAAAGGACCTGTGTTACACCAGTACCTAAATGCTTACCAGAAACGGGGACAGCTTCGCCTTTCAGCTCCACAGAACTTGATTCCACAGTACTTGATGGAGAAACTTCCTGAAGTAATAGCCAATGAAATAAGCCAGAAAAAAAGAAACAACTTCCACGAATCCTCCACTGACTTCCAAATCGACTGTTTCCCCCATTGATTTCTCTTGTATTTTCCAGTCACTATTAGCACGATAACTGCACATATAATCATTGAGAAATACGTACACATCAGCCGTTTTCGGTCTTGCGGAATTCTGAACAACAACAAGTTGAGTTTAATTAATGACAACATATGTTTAAAACTAACCGTGATTAGTTCCCCATATAGCTGAATACAGTGTACCATGTCAGAGATGAAGGTGATAGGGAGATCACGTAGACGAAGCCAATCAAAACAGCCAAATTTCTCCTCAATTTCAGTGACGAGGAACGCGCCCTACAAAGACAATGACTCCGATCGCGGCAATTTGCACGGTCTCACAAAATCTAGTAGAAGCAGGTAGTTTCAAATGAGGGCTCCTTCGAAGCAATGGAGCTTTCGGAATGTAAGCTAAGCCCTGTTTACCTTGGTGTGAGCATCAAATGCTACTCACAAGGGAGGTCGTTCAGGGCGTGGTGAGCTTTTTCAAAATGGTCTTGTGCATATTGTAGGGGCACATACGAGGACCAGAAAACTGAGGTTCATTTTCGCTGCGCGCTTCTACGAATAAAAAAAACGTAAAAAATAGGTCGATGGTTCGGATCCCACCGAGGACAAAATTTTGCTTTTCTACAATTTTTCATTTTTTGGATCCATGTTTGTCTAAATAATTGGTCCTAACAAAAACATTCACGATAAACTGAACAATCCTACTTTTATGGCTTTTTCGTTCGAATTCGTTAGTATGCACAGACTCAGCTCTTCGGCGCTATGCCGGTGCCAGATGGCACTGGAACCGAAAATAAAGTCTAGAATCGTGATCAGGACTGTCGATTACCCCTAGGAGCAAGTTTTGAGCGAAA